TTGACGAGATCGAACTGAGCGGAGTTGGTCTGCCATCCTCCGCCACCACGGACAGCAACAACAGCAATGACTCGCCCGGCTCACCCACCAGTATACTATCAGGTAACAATATCCCATACCCACGTAGCCAATAACCTCCATAAATAGACCGGCTATGAGCCTTAGAATTTTGTGCCTTTTTGATATTTGACATTTTGTCGCTTTAAGATGGAATTAAATGTCATGTAATATCAACATGCACATGTAAATTGGCAGGAAGTAAAAGCTTATTTCCAAGCAATCGTCTAGTCATTTATAGAGATAAGAGCATATAATCACTCAGGGGAAGAATACGAATCTAATGGCACCTCACACCTCGAACTGTGGAATACCACTACCACACAGAAGACAGGCGTAAGTGAACGTAATGCCGTATACATCCTGAGGAGTGTTTCTCTATCCCTTCCCACCCTTTTCAAATAGAGTAAGGGTGGAAAGAAGAAATAGATTTGATGGAGGAGACCCATAGGAATTTATTCTCTTTCTGTGCTCCTCCATTGATTAAAGGTAGGCAATGGAGCTGTAATTGCGGATGATGTGTTGCCGCTTGTTCGTTTACCATCTTATAATAGAAAGAAACCTATTACTATAGTTATTTTGATTTTGATTGCAGGTACCAGCCCCATAACATCACCAGCGTTAGACACACTAAACCATTCAACGGATTCTATAGACGTGGATAAGAAGAAGAAAGCGGAGGAACTTGTTGCCAAAGTAAGTGTAAACATTTTTTACTATTATCCTTCCCCCCCACCCCCTACATATATACCACATCATTATCATTACGCCTGGTTTACATTTTTCCAGTACAGTAATACAGTAGCGTTCACAACCAACGCTGGTATACTGGCATGTTGGAAATATTATCTGGCACCAGTGAGCCAAAACAATTCATGCCCAGCCAGTGCTATCCTACTGTACTGGAATAATGTATACCAGGCCTTAACTTTGCAAAATTGTAGTTGTCTATTATGTGTTATTGCTGTGGGTTTCCACTCTCATAACACTCGTAATCAACACATTGGCATCTCTCTCATTCTTTTTGGAAAAGACAGAGACAATGTTAAGTTATTATGGAATTTCACGGTTGCGATTTTTATTTCTTATTTTTGTTATCATGTTTAAGCTCTTTTGTGATTGAAAGATTCCTTTTTGCTCGACAGTGTTACCCCGTCTATGCCAAATGTACGTATTTTTACATACTTTTGCTACTGTTTCGTAAATCATTTTGAACACACTGTATATATGTATGTTTTTACAGTGAAATGAGTTTGTTTTAGTCACAAAAGAGTTTATATATGTTATTATGGTATGGACAATGAATAGTAAACGTGATATGTGTTAATTTCCAGCCGGTCAAACCGCTGCCGCTCCGCGCGGTGAACAGCTGCGCGGTCAGTAATAGCGCGACTAATCTTACTTCCTTGCTCAATAACTCCGCCGCATCCACGAATAGGTCAGTCCACTGACTATTTTCACATATCTTATACGCTTCACAACTCTAGGCTGTCCCATCTTTCTAATTAAAAAAAAAACTTTGTCTATGGTCTTCTATCCTTAAGTAAGGTAATGAAATAGCAAAGTTTTGATTTATTTCTTAAGAGCATGGACGCTAAATATTGGTCGATGGGACTGCCTTGATGATTAGACAATTAGCACAGAGTGATATTGCGTCCCGGAAGCCTAATTTAGTCTTCTTTATCTTCCCACCCTTTACCTTATAAGGAAAGGATGGGAAGTGGAAGTGGACTTGCCGGATGAGAGGATGCATGGAAAGGGAAAATATTTTCTTTCTGTGAATCCTCTCCTCCGTCGATTTAAGGTAGGCAACGCATATGCAATTACGTATGTCTATGGGCAACGGTCTTTTTGCTATTTCAGCGATTTCAAGTGACCGCTCGTTCGTTTGCCACCTTATGATATAAAAAAAGTTTTACTCCTCCTAGATTGAGTATTTTTATTATGTTTTCATTTTGTGCTAAAACAATAGTTTCCAAACTTATTTTTTTTATTGAAAAGTCCAGTTTTAGTAAAGTTTTGATGCAATTTATTTAGAATTTTGTCTATGAAATTGCTATAAAAATGCTAGAACCCGAACTAATAAAAAAATTGACTAAAATAAGATGTGATCAAAATGTATGATTTATTTGTGACAATATGAGCCTTATTATTTTGATTTTTTAACATTTCTAATATATTTTATTCCCATTTCATTACTCTGCATGACAATTGAATTGGTTCAGTATTTTTTTTACACATTTGGATAAATCTTACTAATATTATAATTACTTTTATTTAAATTGTTTTCTAAGTTTTCGAAAGTGTGAGTGAGACATATATAATAGTGAAAAAGAGAGACGGAAATATATTCGTCTCTCATGTGAGTTTTGAATTCTATGCAGCTTTTTGCTAACTTCAGACTTGTTTATTTAGTCGGGTATTGTGCAAGTACTGGAATGGATTTTTATATAGTTTTATGAAGAATTTTAGTCATAACAGCTGTTGTAAATATGTTCATTTAAAATGTCAAAGGTTACCTGAATTTTCTAAATAAAAATATTTTGTGAATGTCTGCGACAATCCATAGTGATATAGCATGTTTACTACTCAATGTCTATGATTAAAGTCATTCATCAAGATTTACGCATGAGTATTGTAGAAGTGGATTTGCTAAAATGTATTTTTTCACTTTAATTGTTGGAAATCTGTTTACACTGCCTAAACATGTTTCCAAATATATAAGTTTGATATAATTATTTTGCTTCTACATGTCTCATAATGGATATGTTTCATCATATAATTTTCATTTCACATTAAGTTAAAATATTTTTAATAGCCTATAACTTAATCATGATTTTGTTCGTTAACCGTCATTCAAAATATAGATTAACTTAACATTTAATAAACACTAAGTTAGTTTTTAGGGTTCCCTACCTCATAGGAAAAAAACGAAACCCTTGTAGGATCATTTTGTCCGTCCGTCTGTCTACCAAGACTCTTTTTTTAGTGGATGCTAGGCCTTATATAGCTTTATAATAGAAATATATAAAGTCATAATATAATGTTAGCTTTGTGCGTGCAGTATAAACACGACAGGGGCGTCGGGCACATCCACGCCCATCAAGTTGCCGCTGGCGCCCAGTCCGCCGCATCTCACGCATCTGCATCAGCGGAACAATACAGGTAACTATCTCATCAACTATACATATATCCTTTCAAATATCTTGGCCGCTCTAATATAACCCGAGAGCACTATGCATCGCATCGATGAAGCAGCCAAGATATTTGAATAGACAAATACAATCGTATGCGTACAAACGCGTGCGTGTACGTAAATGCGTACGTATAAGTACGTGTTCGTTTGTATTTCTCTAATTCCATTTCCTTCCAATTCTACATCCACTGTCTCGCTATAATGTTTCTTAACATTTTTCTCGTGCAGTGTATTTTAATTAAAACCAACCTATTTAATATTTACTCAGTTTACTGATTACGTTAATTAACTCATGTATTAATACTGCGTCTAATTTATTTATAATTAAAAATTGTAATGTCTGTATGTAATATCGAATAAAATCATATTTCGTGAAGATTATTTATTTACATTGCTTATAGAGAAAAACCAATTTTAAGCTTATATCTGGCTTTCCGCAAGTCTGCGCTTGTTTCTGAATGGTATTAGTTATTGGAAGGTAGCTTATGTGTGCCAGAGTAACTTGGTCATTTTCTGTGCGGACGAAGTCGCGGGCGATCGCTAGTGAATAATATAAACAGTTCTTTAATTAATTCTTAGTACAATGTATATTTAAATTGACTCACGTTAACTTTATTGCGCTTATCCACGCAAATTATAACTATGTCAGTTCAAAGGTGAATGAACTTTCGTTACCTTACCATTTTTTTTAAATAAAATTACAAGTTAGATTATTTTTAGGGTTCCGTACCTTAGAGGTAAAAAAACGGAATCCTTATAGGATCACTTTTTTGTCCGTCCGTCCTTATGTCAAGACACTTTTTCTTAAAAACGCGTAAAGGTATCAAGCTGGAATTTATTTATTAATTATATTGAAACTCTTTTCTTATTATTTGATATGTCGAAGTAGATGAACTTAGTATATGTTGCTATGCCAAATTCAAAATATTCTTATTAGTACTAACGTATTCAAATTATTTGAACAAAAAACTTCCAACTGGAATGATTACATTTATTTGTAAATATTTGGCACATTATCAAAATTGCCGTAAATAATCCTACATAAATCTGTTGACGTTTGCCAAGGGATAGGTATATATTTGATTAACGTGGATGTTTTCAAATATGGCGTAATATAATACATGGCAACTACATCTATGACGTTTTAAAATAAGAATATATTTCGCATACTAATTTTAAACTAAACATAAAATGTGCGATGCATCTGTTAAAATTATTTACGCTTTCGTTTGAAACGGAATTTTAAGAACACACTAGAAGTAAGAAAAAGTGAAACAATAAAATAAAAATATATCGCGATATAGAGATTTAAACAATAGCCAGTTATCAGTATGATATCGTACGCCGCGTTGTTTACACAACAAACCGCCTCGTGAATGAATTGGCGGGAGTTATCGGCGGACGTGTTGCGAGTTTGGCAAGCGGCCATGTTACGTATAAACGCGCGCTTTTGGCTAGCGGCCAGAATGACGTGGCACCTCACCGCGAACAAACCGCGCAGTCGATAGGCTCTATTCGAAACGGTCGCAGCCTTATTACTATCCTTCCATAGCTACAATGTTTTCCCGCGCTAATGTCAAATATGGACGATGGTAACGTTTTTATAATCTAGTGCATGATTCGTTTTTGAAGACATTACGTTTTTTTTACTGTTTATATTGCGCAGTTGTTGTGTTGTGTGAAGTTCAATGTTGATTATGTAATTATTTGAACGTGTCGAGTTTACGTCGATGTGTACAAGAAGGTAGCGAGTTTATACAACTACCCCGTTTATTTAGAGATAGTGTTTATCATTGTGGAACTCGAGTTGTTTTCTTGTGACGTATGTGCGATCATGATTTGCACTTTTCAATGATTTCATTATTGTTTGAATACAAATAACAAATGTGAAATTGGTTATTGTTAGTAATTCAGAGGTAACGTAAATGTAATTGGTGATTTTATAAGTGCCATTTTTTTAATATTTTTTCATTTTGTTGATTGACACAACGTACGTATTGAAATTAGAAATTAAAAATGATGAAGTTAATGTTTCGTTTCTGTTTACATCTTTGCAATAAACAATGGAATTCCAAAAATTACTCATGCAAATTGAACTGTGCATTAGTTAAATTAAGCATACATGGCTTACGTACTAGGAAATAAAACTATGTAAGCAAAGTCATGGCAATAGCCTCCCGAAACCATGAAATCGATGTGGACATTATTTCTTCAAAGAATTAGATTAAAATGAATTTCACATAATTGTTTGTTGCAGAGATAGTGGAGAATGGTCCAGTATCAATCGCACCACTACACAACGCTGTCATCCATCAAACACCACTCGCTCAACCTCTGCCTGTGAGTTACTTCGCCTCTAAACAAATGATCCTATCGTGGAGTATAGTACTATTTAAACTTACGGCGACTTGCATTTGCCTAAAGGATGATTTTCTACTAGCTAATTACAATTTTGTATCATAAAACATCATAGCTAGGTTACGGGAACTTTAATCAATCACAAAGTTCTTCTAATTTGATAGTTGTTAATGTTTGTATAATTTTGCAGACGTCAAAAAGCGCGTCTGCGACGCCTTCGAGCGCGAGTTCGTCGAGCGGCGCGGGCGCGGGGGCGGCCACGCCGGCGCCCCGCGAGCCCTCGCCCCCGCCCGCGCCCACGCCCGCCCCCGCGCCCCCTGCGCCTGCGCCTACAGCGCCCGCGCCCGCGCCCACGCTCAACGGGCCCGTCCTACTCACCAATGCGCACGCACTCGCGCACCCGCACCATCATATCGCAGACAAGTTAGTATCAATCAGATATATGTACCTACTAGGCTAGCCTAGCCACTACATGCTACCGACCAGTCCTTGGATACTTTGGACATATTGCCCGGAGACACCCCGACAACCTACACAAATTGGTTGTGATCGGAAAGATAGAGAGTAAAAGGTCACGGGGTCGATTACCTACTCGCTGGTCCGATCAAGTGCAGGCTATATTGGGACTCAATGTCACGACTGCCCTGAGACAAGCCGAAGACTGGACGGCGTGGAGGCAGCTGGTCGACACAGCCGTTAAAGCGTATCAAGACAAGCACGACCTTCAGTAATGAAGAATACGAAGAAGAATATATACCTACTAACTACTAACTCAAGAAAAATTCAATGAATACTAATGTAGAATCTACACTAGTACTATGAGAAATGTAGTAGCTTTGGTTTACAAAGTATTGGACAAAATAATACAAGTTAAACTTTGCATGACACTAACTGGTAAACTGGTCACTAAGGAGAGAAGGAAGAATGCTCAGCTACTCTGAGTACGGTAGTAGATAATGTTGATTTGTGTGATGCAGTGGTATCCCGAGTCCGCCGCCGAGCGCGCCCGCGCCCGCCGGCACCGCCTCGCTCAAGAGCATGGCGCAGGAAGCTGTGCAGCGAGCGGGACTCGACGCCCACCATACACAGGTGAATTACATACACACACAAGCATAAACATTTATATTAATTCCATGATTTGAAAAAAAAAATAATGCAAATATAACTGGATTGATGATTAGTATTTATTAGTCAACTGAGGGCTGTTCCTCAAATGAGTCGGTTTGGCAAGCTACATTTAATTTTTTTTTATTTAATTTAATTATTTTTTTATTCCAGAGCACAAGAAGAGGAACGGCATTATCTCAAGCACACATCCCCCCTTTATTAGGTGTTGCGCCTTTGGGACCTTTGCCTTTAACATCTGTTAGTATTTACAATTATATAAATTGCTTGTAATGTTTGCTATTTAGTGTTGCATATTTAACATATTTTTTAAATTTTCAGGATAATCAGGTACAGTATCGCATGATGGAGTCATCATTCTTCCACATGCCGCATCCGTCCGACTCGGAGCGCATGCGCAACTATCTGCCGCGCAACATTTGCCAGACGCCCGTATACTATAACCAGGTTCGTGAACCAATACCACATATAAACTCACTAACATGAAATACATGACATTCCCTTCATTGGCACAGAACCAATGACACACTCGTCCTCAACTTTACTTCATGACACCCTTCTCACATTAGAAGACATTACGAAATCGACCTAACTTGCAATACTTGTCCTTAATTGAAGACATGATCCTCTCGTCTCCTATTCAGAACACACACAGATGTATGATTGTTTGTTTACTATCAGGTGCTGTTACCGCACTCGGATTCGGTCGAGTTCTTCCAGCGGCTGTCGACGGAGACGTTATTCTTCGTGTTCTACTACATGGAGGGAACGAAGGCGCAGTACCTCGCCGCTAAGGCGCTCAAGAAGCAGAGCTGGCGCTTCCACACCAAGTACATGATGTGGTTCCAGAGGCATGAGGAGCCCAAGGTCATCAATGAGGAGTATGAACAGGTTAGTAGCAAAGTTTTTTTAGTTTTATTGTAAATAGAAATTAGAGAAATGGTTTTCATTTCGCAAGAAATTCAGATTTGTTTATTTTTGGACAACAAAAACCACATTATGTCCAACTTACAAACCTAGAAGCGTCAATAACTAGGGTTAGTAGAAATATGTGGCAAAACTTAAGGGCATCACTTGCGAGATCACAGTCCGCAGGAGATATCTCAGCACAGTCGCATTTGGGTTACGCTTTGATGGTAGATAAATAATTTTTAAATTGTAACATTTCAGGGCACGTACATATACTTCGACTACGAGAAGTGGGGCCAGAGGAAAAAGGAGGGCTTCACGTTCGAGTACAAGTACTTAGAAGACCGCGACTTGAACTGAGGGCGGGCGGCGAGCAGGCGGCGTGCTGGCAGTGCGCCCCGCTCCGCCCCGCCCCGCCCCGCGACAACCGCCACCGCGACCGCTACCCCGACCTATGGAAAACTAAATTCTCTTTCATTCCGTTAAGAGTATTATATTTATGAATCGGCCCCTCGGTCTCTGTGATGACCCGCCGGCCGTATTATTATTTAAAACTCGACTTTATAAAAGTGAATACAAGATTGCAAGAAAACGTCTCAACAAAATAATGTTCATATCGAAGTAGAATAGTGCGTGGAGGTGAGGTGAGGTGAGGTGAGGTGTGGTGTGCCGGGGGAGAGGACAGCAGGGGAGTGTGAGGGCAGTGCAGCGCGGAGGCCCGGGTATGGCATGTCATGTGATGAAATAACTTTAGTCCGCCCCGTGGGCTAGTATTTAAAAAGAAATGTGATATCGATATAGGAACGCCCGGAGCGTATACGGATGCACGACATCTTTATGTATCTTTGTTCCTCTGTAATAAAATTATTGTTTTTTTTTTTAAATATAATCATCACTAATTATTTTGAATCTGTATAAAATTTTGTATGTCATTTTTATTTGTACAATTAATTGATGTTTTGGAAAGTAAATGTTGGTATATTTATTAAACCGAGGTGTACATTAATGTCAAATGTTTGTACTAGTCATGACATCTGATGAAACTATTGTTATTCGATATTGCTCTGGGTGATTTGTTTTTAACTTGTTTTGTAGTGACTGCGACTAGTTTGAGTAGTACTAAGAGCTGACTTATACATACCACAAGTATATAAAATTAAAAAAAAAATATCCTATTTAATCTGTCATATTGGTTTGTGTCATTGCATTGTAAAAGCTATGTAATTTATGAGTAATATGTATAAAATTTAGATTAAGGCAAGATTGTAATATCGATCTCATAACTCTGTAGTATATTATTTATCCCAAAGACCTTTAATATTTGGTATGTGTAAGTTACGCTGAAATACATAAGAAATGTACGAAATATACAAACTATAAGGAACTCTCTCACTTTGAAAGTTTTTTTTTAAGCGTTAATTTATTAATTGCATTTAAAATTGAACAAAAATACAATGGGAACATGCTTGTGAATCACTGCCAAGTTTTACTATATCAAGGTAGAGGATTTGCTAATGTCACATTTAACCGTTTGATTGGAAAATGTCGAACTAAATGATAACTCCACTTCTGTATATTAGTGGATAAGCGCCCCAAAGTTTAGCTCTCTTTTTTTATAAATCAAAATAAAAATTGAATAAAAAAAATGGAAATTTTGTAATGTTAAATATTAGATTCAATGCTAAATCTTGCGATGTCTTGGTCACAAATGTATGACAGAATAATCATGTAATTTATTTTCCTAAGAGATGTGATCATTTAGGAGATAAAAATTAAAAATAAAATTCTCATTGTATTAGTGGATGAGTTAATTAAGTAAAGAGATGAAGTATGCAAGGTCTATGAAAGATATGTCCACTAGATAGGTGACATTAAAGTGAGCAATATTAAAATAATAAGAGTAATTTTGTATGTATGTGTAAATGTATGGAGTCAGAAGTGTACCAAGACTTACAAAATTTTATTATATCTGCCCACCCCTTAAGGAAACATATTGTCTCCTATTAGATAACATTGGTGCTGTATGTAATTTGTATTTTAATGCTATTGTTTTTAGGTTGAAAATCAAATGGTTAAATGCGGTATAAAAGTGGGGGAGTTCATTGTAATTTATGGTGACTAAAGTAATATTACTGCCAGTCGAGGCCTCCTCGTTAAGTCGGCGTGACATGTTTTCCATTATGTGTGATTTCGTAAGTTTTTCATAGGCGCTAAACAAACAAATGTACAGACAAACAGTGTAATTTATATATATGTATCAACGGAATATACAAAGTGGTGAAATTTTAATGATTTTAGTTGTATACAAGAATTAGCGTCATATATATAAAAATTAATCTAGTGGGTTAGGATTCAATATACTTTTTTCTATTTATTGCAATTTAAAATGCCTTTTTAGATGTTCTTGGGGGAAATAGCAACTGGCTTGCGTTTTACACTAGTTAGTATTTTTTTTAATTATTGACCACTTTGGATATGACATAAGCATTAGTAGGTACATATATATAAATGTTATCTTTGTTGACTGTATGTCTGAACAGTTTTTGTACACTGTTTGGAGTTGAATGCAGTTTTATTGTACGCGTCCAGTTGTTAGTCGTTACTGTATACTTGGCAGCATATAAATTATCATAATACGTTTAAAATCAAATTAATTGTTTATTATTTTAAATCAAGATATATTGTGATGGGACTGTAACTGTGTTAGGATACTTAGTGAGGGATTCATTTTATATGAACAAGAAATTCATGTTAAAATTAACCAAAACATCTTTTTGTGTGGTTATTGAATGTTTGAGTTTTTGTAAATTATGTATTCGACTGGCATTTACTGGATGTGTACAATGTAGGGATGTGCGTAAATTCGATTAATTAGAATGCGAGTCGTTCTAAATAATCGATTCCGGTTCGATTGTTCAAGTAATATCGGTATGTGCCTAGCAATATATATGATGTAGCAGTGTGGGCAGCGGGGCAGGGGAGGGGACATGCAGACAGGGCGGGGACAGGAGCGGGGGCGGGGACGGGCAGCGGAGCCTAGTTCAGCGGTACAATGTAGAGCGCGATCTCGATTATTTCCGTGCGTGGTTATGATAGTTTTCATTTTTGTAAAAAGTCTATCGTGAGAGCAGATGAAATGTGGTAAATAATAATTTAAAGAATTCACTGTACAGTTCTATTTGTATAGAAATAATAAATAATGATTAAAAAAGAAAACATTTTAAAAAATATATTGTCTTTGATTTTACCACTGTCATCGAACGATGTAATACCAAACGGAGTTGTTCTGATTAACACGATTGAAGAGAAAGCTTTTTAATATGTTTCAGAACATCAAAAAACTAGTTTGGGCCTTAAATACTAAGGTTGTAAATGAAAGTCAACAATATTAGACATAATATGTAATCATCGTTTCCGCTTGCCGCCGCGCGCGTGCTTGTGTCCGCGCATGCGCCGGCGCACGCCCGCCGCCTCCTCGGTGTCATCATCAGACTCCGCGCCGCGCTTCTTGCCCTTCTGACTCTTCTTGTCTTCCAGTTCCTTCATTTCCTGTTACAAATACGATTTATCAAATGTAATACAGAATTTTACCCAACTAAAATCACCCAAAAGTATAATAAAGTCATATTCTTACTGAGAACATAGTAAAATAGCTTGATAAAAATTTAACTTCTTAACTTAATCTTCAAAAAATTCATCTATTAGTTTTTATTTCATAGAGAAAGTAATACCACAAAGATAAAGTGGTATTACGAGTTGTGTAGAACTTACAATCTTGGTGAGCCGCTGCGCCTCGGCCACCCTCTCCTGCAGCACCATGACCTCGCTCTCCTCAGTGGGATACAGCGGCAGCTGCTTGCCTATCAGCTGCTCGATGCGCTGGTACAGTTCCACATCATACTGGAAACAAACAAGTCAGTAACCATAAGATTTGACCACCTGACACTATATGTAAAAAGACATGGTTTGTAGCTACTAGTGTACCTGTGAGACAAAGGTGATGGACTTTCCTGCACGGCCGGCACGCGCGGTGCGGCCCACGCGGTGGATGTAGTCTTTACTGTGCAGCGGGATGTCCAGGTTGATCACCACATCTACGTGCGGAATGTCCAGACCTCTGAAGAAGGTTCGAGGTTGTGTAAGTTATATTAAGTACATAACATTATCCCATCAACTAATCCATTCATTTGATCCTATTCAGAAACACTGAAACTGACCTGGAGGCAACATCAGTACAAATAAGTACGGATCGTGCTTTAGTCTTGAACTTTGCGAGCGCAGCGAGACGGCGCTGCTGCGACATCTGACCGTGCAGCGGCACAGCAGCCACACCCAGCGCGCGCAGGAGTAGCGCTGCACGTAGTGCGCCCGCGCACGTCGACACGAACACGATGAAAGAGTTACCCGATAGCTCATTGATTATATGCACGAGATATACGTCCTGTTTAGAAATTATTACATCTTATAAATGCGAAGATGAATGTTTCTTTGAAAGTATCTCTAGAACGACTTAACAGATCTTGGTGAAATTTGACACATAAAGAACATATAAGCTACTGTTAAGGTTATATTTTTTTAATTTCGCGCGGACGGATTCGAGGGCAACAACTAGTATAAACATATATCATTTACACACTTTATCTGTTTGAAAAAAGGAGGGTACTAACAAAAACACATATAGAGGAATAGAACATTAACATACCTTATACTTCAAAGGTATAAAGAGATAGTACTGCTGCAATTTGTCCACAGTCTGGTATTTAGTGGACACTTCCACTTTGACAGGGTCTCGGAGTGATGCACGCTGCAGTTTCTGTACCTTTTTAGTCATTGTAGCAGAGAACAGATAGGTGCGTCTTTCACGAGGGATCACACGTAAGATTTTATCCACTTCTACTTCAAAGTCCATGTTTAATATACGATCAGCTTCGTCCATTACCTGTTTTTATATTTTACATAATAAATTTAATAATGTATAATATTAAAAATAATAGGCACATTATGAAAAAGGTTATTAAAAACAATTTAAAGTCCATTGCAAACATAAAGAAATAGATTTTAACAACTTGCATAGCCAGATGCAGTACACATGGCTCTAAATACAAATAATCAAATTGAACAACCAATTAGAAGGCTACAATCATTTACTTCATAATTTGCACTTACCAAAAATTTAAGTGCCTTTAAATTAAACCCTTTAGTGTTCTCTAAATGGTCGACCAGACGTCCAGGTGTTGCTATAATTATGTGTGGCTTCTTGGAGAGCATCAGAGCCTGAGCTACCATGTCCATACCTCCTACTATGACAACACATTTCACACCAATACTGGCTCCTGTAATATTTATTCTTTTAAAACATGTGCATAACTAGGTCTATACTTTTAGTCCCTTTTTCCACAAACAGATAGACACCTGAATCAAGATTATTATATATAGTAGTTGTTATCAACCCAAATAAATGACTGCCATACAAGGCTAGTTCCATATTCAACAGTGGTAGAGCCCGCTTTAACATTTTCGCATGAATTGGCCCAGCTCGCCTGGTGAAATACCATGACCATGCAGAAGACAGGCGTCAAGTTTGAAGCAATTCTGCGTTTCGTCTGATGAGTGTGCGTCCAGGAGGCCTAATTTAGTCCTCTTTCCCTTTTTTTCTTCTATAAGGTAAGGATGGGAAGAAGAAGTGGACTCTCCAGATGATGAGGATGCATGGAAATGGAAAATATTTTCTTTCTGTGCATCCTCTCCTCCGTCGATAAAAGGTAGGCAACGCATATGCAATTGTGTATGTCAGCGATTGTAGGTGGCCGATCGCTCTCTTGCCACCGTATGATATATAAAATATATATATATATTAAGTGGCATAGGGTCATCATTATTACAAATATGCACACTTAAGCTCCCAAAAATATAATTGAGTTTTGCAGTATATACATAGATTTAAGCTTGACCTTTGACCAAACAACAATTCATAGTAAAAAAAGTTTTGTGCAAAGTGACATAAACAAAGCAATACAAAAATATGAACTAGAAAATAGAGGTATGATTTTTCATCTTACCGAGAGCCTCAAACTGTTCAGATATTTGGAATGCCAATTCTCTTGTAGGTGTTAGAATCAGTGCAAAATATCTCTGTGGGTTTTCCAATAATGCTTGTAATATTGGCAATGCAAATGCACCAGTTTTACCAGATCCAGTCTCTGCAAGACCAATTATATCTTTTCCTTGTAAAGCTACTGGTATTGCCTCTTTTTGGATCTTTGATGGATTTTTCCATTTCAGTTCTTGACAAGCCTCGCAAAGTACATCAACAACTCCCTGAAATAAATTTAACAATTTAAGCCAAAGATACGCAACTTGCAAAACAAAAGTTTCTCAAACAAAATCTTTAAAAGGATCTTTAACTGCAAATTACCAAAAACAAAGTTGCTTACCAGATCTTTAAACGTTACCGTGTCTTCTTTTTCATCTTTGTTTTCACTAGTAACATTATCCGTTTGTTCCCCCGTTTCTTCTGTTGAATGCTCACTAGCATTATCACTATTTTCACTGTCTTCGGTCATTTTTAACTAAATTAACAAATAAAATTACAATTCAACACGTGCGAATGGCATAGTCGAGACAAGTGACAGTGACAGTAATAGAAAAAAGTTGCCAGAAAGTCCTGGGACAATATAATTCATGTTACTTGTGAAAATGTTTCATTTAAATTATTAATAAAAACATTTGATCTCATAAAACAACAATTTAAAGTAAGCTCATATTCTGTAAGCTTACAAATACAAACAAAATAATTACTTCCAGGCAAGCTAATAATTGAGACATCTTAGATTAGGTGGCTGTATGTCAGATGTCGACCGCTGCATTATTTGTTTAGAAAAAGTGATTCCAAAACAAATCAAATCAAATTGTGGTTATATTTTCTTGCTGCTTTCAATAATTAAAAAAATAAGTACTTAAGTACTTTTGTAAGTAAAATCATGGCTAAGCATCATCCAGATCTCATTTTTTGTAGAAAACAACCTGGAGTCGGTGAGTTAATTGATGTTCGAAAACCAGTCTCATTTTTATATATTTGTGATATCTTGTAATATTGTTTTTAATTTTACACAGCTATAGGTCGTTTATGTGAAAAATGCGATGGAAAATGTGTTATTTGCGATTCATATGTGCGTCCTTGCACACTGGTTCGTATTTGTGACGAATGTAACTACGGTTCGTACCAGGGGCGGTGTGTTATTTGTGGCGGTCCCGGCGTCTCTGATGCCTACTACTGCAAAGAATGTACGATTCAAGAAAAAGACGTAAGTGTTATGAGTTTTTTTTTCTTTTCGTCTGATAGTTATTAGAAATTGGTACAGTACTTGAAGTCTGCGTCATTTTACAATCATACAACTCTTTGTTCATTTCTAAAATATGTTTATAAACTTATATATATTATTTTTCCAGAGGGATGGTTGTCCAAAGATTGTCAACTTGGGTAGTTCAAAGACTGATCTGTTTTACGAAAGAAAAAAATATGGATTCCGGAAGCATTAGCAAGCTTCTGCTTTAAAAGACTTACAGTGAATTAATAAAATGTGAATGATATGGTATTGTTTGCATTATTTTATAGATAAGAATTTTTCACAACTGGTAAAATAATGAAAAGTTCAACATTTTGTTGACATTCTCATTATTTGTCGTCATCAAGATGAACTTGACAATTTGTCTGTTTTTTTTTAAGTAAATAAGTTTTCATTACAAATTCAAGTGTAACACTATCATTGCAAGTAATTGATGGTATTCCATAGTTTTAAGAAATTAAAAACGAAGTTAATTCTTATGTGTTGTATTTTTTTTTACCTAATATGATGTATGGAATTTATGAATAAAACAAGAAACGTTTCTACTAATTAACTTTATTGTCAAATAATAATTACAAATTTGATCTACAACACACTTTAAGCTATCTGAAGCCAACAACACGTCCAATGGACATTTCCTTTGTCTATTTTCTATAACAAAATCATGAATATATACAAGTTATTTTATTCCAAGGGTTTATTCGTCATTCTTCTTTGTATATTTTGTCTTACCGTAATAGGCCATGCCAAAAAAAATTACCCCTAAAAATTTTTACAATATATATTTAAAAAAAAATTAGCAATAAACACAATCATTTACTTACACAAAATAGTAAATAGTTTGAACATGATATTGATTGACTAAACTTGTATTATTTTTAGGATCTGTAATTAAATTTGGTTATTTTTAGCAAAACATCATTTATAGGTTATATTTTCGTTTTTCTAGTGTCAACTTATAGCTGTCAATCGATAAAATACATGTAATACTTTTTTCTATAGGACATGATAATGGAACTGACCAGTGTACATGGATAGGTTATAAACCGTGATATTTTGTGCCAATTTGACTTTCGCCATTAGAATAGAATTATCTGTCAGGAATATCAACAGGGGCTTTTAAATCGGAATGAAACAAAAGCTGTCATGACCAAACCATTTATACAGATCAGTGTAATGGAATATAGTCCAAGATCCAAGTAGTTGTGATCAATATTATTTTTTATTAAATCTCTACATTAAGTTTTAAATTTGTCTCTGCTTGTGGTACTATTAGCCGATGAAACGGAGGGGTTTGTCCAAACATCAGGTTCTTTAGTACTGGCTTCAGAGTAAGTAGGTCGGGCCGGTATGATGGGGGACCGAATGCAAACGCTGAAAACAAAAGTTCAATTATTAGCCATTTCAAATCCCTTAAAATGGTTCTCGAGTCTTGATTAAGAAGATAAATTATTTAAAATCATGCTGAATATAACAGACATGCAATCTGAAATAAAAATGAGTCAGTAAGCTTTTAAAACTATTTTGCACATGCACATCCCATTCATAACGAAATATAGTATATCTTAAAATCTGGAACTTTTTCTTTTATAATAATAATAATAATTTTATAAATCATACGAATCGAGTAAAGTAGATGGTATCATAATATAAATTTTATTTACTAAAGTGCTAATATTAAAAATATTGCTTGTTTTTTAAATTAAATTTTATTTAATTTATTGTCGCAATAATATAGGCATTTAGTTTTTTTAATTTAAATTATTCATGCGTGCTGTTGTGTCGATATATTTTCGGACACTTCCACTGACCTGCTGTACAGTCAGCTCGTCAAATAATTACCTAAAAACAAGTTTATTATTCACTTTAATTCTAGGTAAGTATTGAGAAACATCCAGCGTATCGCATCTGAATCGATTCATTCTTGATTTTTATGTCACAAATACATAAGTAACACGTAAAAAAATTAGTCTAAAACATCGCACTGATGGGCTAGCGAAGGTTTAAATCAATTTATTATCTTGTATTGTTAGTCAATGGTATTGTGCAAAAGATGTAGCCATGTAACTCACGAGTTGACATCTTCGAGCTTCTTGAGAAGACGCTCGTTCTCTCTGGTGACGAGTTCGTGATCGCGCAGCAGGAGGTCGCGTGCAGCGAACAGCTCGCGGTTCTCGCGACGCAACGCGGCGCTCTCCGCCATGTGTAATTGCACCAGCCGTACCAGCTCGGACTGGCCCAGCTGGTGCAACTGGTTGCTCTCAATGCGAGGCGTCATATCTCTCTCGCCTGATCGATATAAGAAAAATGTGTGTTTTTTTTTGTAACGGTCTCTTATGACATCACGTCAATAGCTGTATCTGCTATACTTTTCAAATGTCTTTGCGGCCAAAATCATCAGCGCTCTGGGCATTGTTTCTAGGCTATAACCAGCTACAAATAAAATTGTCTTCTGTGCAGTGACTATCTTTACTACAATTATGGTGGTATAAACACAAATCCAAAAATTCACGTTACTGATTTAATCTATTCTAGCGTCACATTTTGGTGCGTCAATACCTCTAGAAGTTCGATTTCTCATTGTTCATGACATAGTCAAGAGCCAAACAAGAACGTCAAGTCAATGTGAAGTCGGCATACCTGAGGGGTCCATGCTGTAGTCAATGTGTACATGCAGAGCTGTCCGCAGATGTTGATTCTCAGCCTGTAGCAGCTCGATTTCTCTTTTCAGACTGAGAATTAGCGCATCTCTTGCGTCCTAGAGATTTTAAATAGAACATTTTTAGTATAACAATGAAATCTTAGAGAGCAGGGTTGGCAAAAAAGCGTACTAAGAAATAATTGTACGTACAATTTTGACGATGGGTTTGGATTTAATTTTCTTAGCTCTGGCGGCGTAGCGCAGCGTGTTGACTGACTCGCTCAAGTTGGATCGCGTCGGTGCGATGCATGCTATCTGTGATGACACACATCATTAAGAACACATCATGTTAACAATATACACGTTACATTGTGAATATCTTACCATTAAGGTAACCCCGTTCCCTGCTAGGCTGTCAGCGAGCAGCTTCGTCAGCTTGCTGTCCCGGTACGGTATGTGACCTTTCTTTTTACCGTCACTTAATTGTGCTATACAATATCCTGTTGGACAGAATTATACTTTGCTACACTTTGAAAACAGTAAGTACATTGTCGTGGCTGCAACAGTCATTTGAAGTACAGTCAGCTGCAAAAATGTGTATACAACAACAAAACTTTCAAAACTTGTATATGTTTTATGTTTCAAAAATACGTATGCAAGAATTCTTCAATAACATGTTATTATGGTCGGAAGAATACGTGCGGATGCGTGTTAAAATATTTTTGAAACAGAAGCCGAATACTAGTTTTTAATATTTACGCCGAAGACTGTACAAGTAATGTTTTCATATCGAAGCATATTCACGTGCAATTTTAGAACAAAATTCATCTTCTTCTACACTTTGCCCTAAGAAATTGTTCTGAATCTTTCTAAAAGGTACTTACCCAGTACCATAAGACTTTTGTTAATATTATTAGCTTCTTCCAATGTCTTGCCGGTGCTGTGCGTGCGCTTTGTCATCTCGCTGCCGGCCAGGTCCACGAAGTTGATCTTGCCGTGTGTGGAGCACGTGACGTCACGCTCGCTGCGAACGTCACGTCGCACGCGAACGCTCAGCACAGTATGCGAGCGGGACGAATGCGCGTTCATCGAATGCGAGCCCACCGCGCGGTTACGAGTACCTTAACAAAATTTATACATCTCACAAGACGCAAAATTAGACGCAGTGAAGGACGTAAATTTCCTACCCATTTTGATAACATAACGCTTAACACGGAATTCATTTATGCTGGTGTCATTTTGCTGTATAATGTTCTGAGAAACGAAATTAATTTGGGTATTGTACCTTCTTCTAGAACAGCAAATAAGTCATCCAACTCCTCGCAGTCGACAGTGAAAAGATTTTCGACATAAAAGCTACGACTATCCTTCGACCAGCGAACTTGCAGTGGTTTCTTAACAGTTCCAGGGTTTAGGAGATCTATAACCTACAAATTATTAATAAATTAATAATTATTATATGTATATCTTACTAATATTTTAAATGCGAATGTTGAATGGGTGGATGTATGCTAGTTAGAAGGTATTTCTAAAACGGCGTAACGGATTTCAGTGAAATTTGGCATAGATGTAGAACACAGATTAGAAGAACAAATAGGTTACTAATTCAGTTTTCCTTTTAATACCGTGCGACCGGACGTTTAGGCGACACCTAGTAAAAAGTAAATTAAAAATGTTTGATCGTGAACTTCAGTAATTACAATCTCGTCGTGTTAAATTAAAGGCCGACCTATACGACTCCATTTGTTTAAAGGGATTTTAGATGTTTACCTTCTCATTGTAGATCTCTAAAAAGGATGCCTTCAATACGAAGTGACAGTCAGGTCGGTCACGTATCAATTGGAAGAGATAGACAAAGGACCGTACAACTAGACCGTGCTCTGAAGAGAATGGACTTGCTCCCCTCTCTACCTGTAAGATAAAAATAGCAATAATTCAAACTAGCGACTTTGTAGATTTTTATTATAAAATTAAAATATTTAATTTTATAACATAAAATACATCCCAAACATACAAATAATACCAATTTTTCCTCGTTTTAGTGTAAAAATCAGAGGTAAATTTAAAGGTTATAGTTTTCCTTAATACCGTAATTTAACTTTACTAAAACTGTAATAAAACTTTATTTTATTACGCTTTAGTATGTTTTCTTTTTATAAACTTAGATTAAGTCTCGTTGATTTTATTTAAATAAATTAACATATTTTAATAAATGTACATACACAAAGCATTTAAATAAACTACTAACTGATAATATTGGAGGTTTTAATGATTTTTCAAATCAATATAAAACGATTTAAATACAATTTGTATTCAAAAAGCATTATGAATGTGCCAATCGGCTATCGGAGGCGACGAAATCGATTAAATGAAGCGCCATGATGCGGCAGCTATTGTCCAAGTACAGCGTGTGTAAAATAAACAAAATTAAGAATATGTGTAGCCTTTGCTTTGTCCATTTAAGTTAGTAAAAAAACAATGATCTACTCCTAACTTAATAGCTATTCCTAAAGCTTTTAAAAGATTTTAATTCATACTGTTTCATCTTATTTCACTATAATAACAGCAAAATTGCAAGACATTTTGTTAGAACTGATACTATCGATATAAAAACAGACAAATAATAGACCTATTATTACGTAGCTGTAAATCAATCGATCGAAAAACAAAGATTAGATATTCGATAAGTAAACGTTACGAATGTAATTATTTTACCATTCAAAGGTGTTTAGTGTTTGAAAAAATGTATCTTTTTTTTTACTATTTTAAAGCTATGACGTCACAATATAACGTATTGCCTATTCATATTTAAAACGCATCGTGTATACTCTGTGGGTTCCGATTGCAGTAATACGTACATTGAAACATATTGTTATCTCTTACGTTCTGTTTGAGAAAAACAGAGAGAACAATATGTTTCACAGTTACGTGCTACATATAAGTATTACCAGTCCCGGAGGTCCAGTGAGGGTGTGTGTTTTCCCGCTTCCCGTCTGTCCATAGCAGAATGCCGTGCAGGAGAAGCCCTCCACAGCCATCTCCAGCAGTCGTTTTACTCCTGAATATTCCAGAACATCTTCCTGAAATATTACAAATTAAAAACAAGCACTTGAAGAGAGAAGATGAGTAGTCATTAAGACGACGTTTTCTAGAAACATCCCAAGTTGCATTTGTGTGGAACGTATACGTCTAGGTTTAGTTACCTGAGAAGCTGCAGGTTCAAAGACAACGTTATATGAGAAGACTTTATGCTTCTGTCCGGGCGCGGTGCCGGGGCAGATCACCTGACCTTTCCCCGGGAATTCTAGCACCTCGCGCTCACCGCGACTGCGTTCTTGATCGTTTACGGGTCTCACCCTTAAAAAAAAGCAGTATAATATGTCACAACAATTTTAGCGTCTATGGCGAATCTAGGAGAACTTGAAACTTCGGTTATGGTTAAACCTGAACTCGGATATTCATAAGTTTCCTCTGTCTTTCCAAAGTCATTGACGTTGTGTAAAATAATCAATTTCTGATTGTATAAAATTTGTTATGCGGGTTCAAATGAATAATAACCATTTTAGAAGTGCCACCAACTCTAACAGTGGTAGAGCCCGCTTTAACATCTTCACACGAATTGTCCCAGCTCGCCCGGTGAAATACCACGACCACACAGAAGACACGCGTCAAGTGGAAGCAATTCCACGTTCCGTCTGATGAGTGTGCGGCCCGGGGGCCAAAATTAGTCCTCTTTCCCTTCCCAACCTTTTACTTATAAGGAAGGGATGGGAAGTGGAAGTGGACTTTCCGGAAGAGAGGATGCATGGAAAGGGAAAATATTTTCTTTCTGTGCATTCTCTCCTCCGCCGATTATTGCGTATGTCTATGGGCAACGGTCACTTCGCTATTTCAGCGATTTCAGGTGGCCGCTCGCTCGTTTGCCACCTTGTGGTATAAAAAAAAAACTCGCTTTGCAAATTTAATAAGAAACAATCGTTATGGCATAGAAGGTATTATTTGAGGACTAGTACCTGACGACAACATTGATATTGTCTTCATCGGAGTTAAGGTTGGTGGTGGAGCCGCGCGTGCTGCGGTCTACGCTGCCCGCACGGCTGCTGCCACTGACAAAATAAATTAAATTAACTTAATATAATTAAGTTGTGCTAAAGAGTTGTCGTGTTTTGAATCGCCATTAGGCAAGTAATGTAAAACGTTATTTCTATACATATAATTTTTACCATCATTAAACTTCCAACATAGAATTGTGAAAATGATGATGCACTAGCTGTCGCGACTCCGTCCCCGCAGACAAAAAACTTAACTATGTGTTCTTCCAGGTTATGTTCTATGTCAATTCCAAATGTCATCGAGATCCATTCAGCCGTTTAAACTAATCCATCGTTTGGATCGCATTTATAATATTAGTAATATATACAGTAGGGTGCCGATAAATATATAATGAAAGCTTAATAACGGTAGAAAATATAATTATAAATACAAGTGTAGATGTAGAGTTGTAAAAAAATTGTCGATGGTTTTTAATCTTTACACTTTGAAAAGGGCATGTGAACTTGAACATCGGTATTTCAATCGATATTGCATTTACGTAACACGAACGCAATTTCGATGGGTCAGTTTGACATTGTTTGTGAATATGTCACCGATGGAGAAGGGGAGTTATCTATTTGATGCGGACATCGCGTGTCAGGGACAATCGATACTGCAGATATGTGTACATATGCTTACTGGTAACCATACGATTAATGACCGATACCATCAGACGTTTTGTCCACAAACATACGAGCCTAATATTTTTATACTAAATTGATCTTCAATATACGTTATAAATTAACACTGTTATGATTCTGCCAACCCGCACTTGACCAGCGTGGTTGACTACCTAATCACCCTTAACTTAGGGTAGGCTCCGAGCCCCTCGGTGGGGACATATAGTGAGCTAATGATGATGATGATTCTGAACCTCTACTACAAATATCATTGAATTTAATTGGAGATTAATCGTTTTTTTGTGACGGAAGATTAGATTGATATGTCCTTTGAAAACTTAATATACGTCTACAGAATTAATACGTTATAGAAAAAAATTTACTTTAATAAAACCTTCATTCGTAAAGGCAAAAAGAAATGAAACTTTCTTTGGCTTGTCTGATTCATTTTCAAACACGTATTGTAGTATGAAAGGTCCTGTCGGCACCTTTTGGATCAAGGCCTTCCAAGCGTCTTACAATTTGTATAACGCAAAAAGCAACAAAAGAAGAATTTCACTCAAAGCATTTATTGTTTTTAAATTACTTAAAGTTAAGTTATACTTTACTTTACTTGGTTTAGATACGTAAATTAAACCAGTAAGTAAAACAATTATGGTACAGAGTAATATAATAATAGTCTTTTATCAACATTTTAGCGATTAAAAACCACTTCAAGAATAATACGGTGATCGTAATCCGCCGAAACAATGGATGAATTTTGATTTACTTTGTGCTCCAGATTTAGTTATAAATCTATGGTTAAGTTCTTAAATCGATAACGCTTTTGTAAGTCCTTGATATTTCGCGCCAAATCGTTTTACAAACGTCACATGTCACGTGCCGTCGGCAAGACAAGGGAATCTAATATTTTATTCCACGGCATGTCAATCTTTCCTTTACACAAAAACTATCTATAATTAACTTCACTTACTAAAACTACAAGGCAACATTTCTTTGTAGTCAACAGAACTTGCGTAAAATTAAATCCGTCGATAAAATACTCGTATTAGAAAAAGCTTGGAAAACCAAGAACCACCCTAATATAGGTTTGTTTTTTGTTTCTTAATCTTAGTCATATGGTAAATACGAATGTATAGATGGACGGATGCATGGATATCGCTTAAATTTGGGTTAGATGTAGAAAACACTCTGGAAGAACATATAGGCAACTATTTTGACGCGCCACTGGACTTGGGCGCGTCAGCTAGTTATTATAATAAATATTCCTTAAACCCCCTTGAAAAAAACCATATTAATGAATCAGTTCACGGAAATCTTATGTTTTTAAATGGACAAGACACGAACTTTCGTTAATATTGTGAGAGCTCCGAGTAATGTTAGTCATTATATACATTAATTCAATTTAACCTTGAACATTTTGACATAACAGGGAAAAACCTATTTCATGAATCAGCATTTCTTGTTCATTTATTAGGAAAAATCTTTTTAAATGTGCGAATATTTTAAATACATGTATATATGTATAACAAAATCCACCATTAAGTAAACTTACCACTTTAGTGGGGAATCCTGATTTACGTTTGTTGCGTGACCAATTTAAGGTGAGATTGCTTAAATAAGAAAGCGTATGTAATCTGTATAGTGATTTAACAGTTTTTCGATATAATACAACTCTGCACGCCATCTTGTGGTTGTGATTTTGTCACTTTTCTTGCCATCAAATTGAAATTCTATGTGTCTTCTTACTCTTATGACTTTTAGATATAAATTGAATTTAATTACTTGTTTTCATTTTACATACTACATACATAATTAAATATAGTAAGGACATGATAAGAATATACTTGTATCTTCTCCATTAGTAAGCAATACAGACAAAATCTTTCGAATATTACCAACAACCAAATAAAGATGTTCAATCAAATTTAGTTTTTAGGACAAACTGTTTTTAAGTTAAGCCTACATATACTGGGTTATGGACAGGGATATAATGATGCTCTAATTACAACCTACCTTCCATTCCTGGACCTGCTTCTTAGGCTGACGTCATCGGGCCAATTGTGGGCCAACGGCGGCAGGCCGCCTGACCCAGGTTGCTCGGTGCTCCGAGCTTTGCGACTCTTTATCTCTTTGCCTATTTTAAAAATTACTTTTATTGTTTAAATTAAAAGTAAATAAAAGTTCATTTAACATGACAGCAAAGCTATGTGGTTTCTTTGATTATGGGTTTAACCATTACCGAAGTATTTGTATAGAAACTTTTTCGTTTCACCTTCTCGATTAACAACTGTCACCGAATTCGGTACGTGAACACGTAATTCGTGTAATTTCATGTCGTATACCGAATCATAATTACACCTTTGAGTGATTGTTTACATTAACAATGTTTGTTTTGTATTGATTTAATTTATATTCAAACAGAAAATATACATGGAAGGATCTATATAGAGTAATTTAAACCAATATTAATTTGATCCTTGTGTTGTAATTGAAATTCTATGTTTAAGGTAATTTCAAGTCTAGATATGGAAATATGAACCCCAAAAAATTGTATAGGAAAATGTAATTAGTACCCGTACAAATTACTTATCACTGACGCATGGGACGACTGGGGGGAAGACTTGGGAAAACGTATTCGCAGTACGTTGTGCTTAAAAAAATATTTAAATTTGCGTGTTTGCTTACCACATCTTGTAGTAGCTACTAAAGTCTCTGCGGATTTAGATATATGCCTGGATAAAGCAGACGGTGGAGCTTTGAGCGGAGTTACAAATCTGTTCTTCTCACGATTTAGAGGTTGAAATATTTGTAAATTTTTTAACGACATTATTTAGCTTATTATTCATTTTTAATTATTCTAACTTTATATTTCACATTATTACACCTTACTCTTGTTAAGTTTTAATCATTAGAAATGTGTCGATCGTAATGCGGGCTCTTATTTTATTACTGTCGTAAAACGTGAAAGCATTACTTATGTTTTATAACAGATAATTTATTGAACATTTTTTTTTATTAACCGTTTATATTATCAAAATAAAACAAAGATTTTGTAGTACAGATGTTTAAATTTACTTTATGCCACGAGAAAGCGCGGGAAATAAAACAAAATGGCTGCCGATACGACTGACATTTACGAGCGCGGGAAGCGTACTAAATTGCTTTGGTCGTGACACCTGGGAAAGTAATTTAAGCTTTTCACTGACTTGTATAAGTTTATATAACATCCTGATTTAATATTTATGCATATTTTGTTGGTAAGATAAAAAAGAAACGATTGTTTGATGCATGCTTTCATAGTTTTTAATTATTTTTGACAACATAACCATAGATGTAATAAATATTTTACTGCGTTATTATGCCTTGGTTTTCACACGTCTCGGTAATTGCCACAAAATCAATAAAGCGATGTTTGGTTGTTAAATATTCACAACTCATTGAAAGACCATTTTCTATATTTCTTTTTGTTATATGTTGTGGGGTTAGTTTTACCTTTTTAACATTATATACATACGGAAAGATAAAAAATACTAATATTAAAATAAGCGTAATTATAAAACTATTTGAATATTTTCTTATTAAAATATATGCTTCGGTGGGTTGAATATTAAAGGAATAATAAGTAAAAAAGTTACAACGACTTTTTAAAGTTTAAAATGTTACTTTGGTACACAGTCAATCTTCCTTGTTCGTGTTATGTCCGAATTACTTAACGTAATTTTTTAATTTAAGAAATAGAATTATTTCACGAAGTAATTTGGATAGCAGGTTTCTATGTATTTAATAAAAATTATAGTGTACTTGTATTTAATAATTTTGTTGTACATAACTAGTAGTTGGGGTAATCAAAGTCAAGGGTGTAGGGCATTGACCCTTAGGGGGTTGAGTACTCATGTAATATGTACTGTTTGACACCTACCACTTAATACCTTTATGACCTTATAACCAAAGCGTGAGCAAATGGGGTTCGGATATGACGGCTGATCGAAGTATATGCATGAATATGTAGATACTACTTATCATTAGGGATAGGCATGATGATGATGATGATGGTGATGATGATAGTGATGATGACGGTGATGATAGTGATGATGATGGTGATGATGATGTGTTACAACTTGTCGAATATTTATCGGCTATATACATTTCGTTAATATTGAATACAGGGGGATTAGTTAATTGTTTTATAAGTTGATTTAATCAAATAATTAACCCATTTATATGGCATATTTCACTAGACTTGTTAACGAACTTGTACTGAATGAACTTGTACTAATTAATTACTTAACCTTTACCTTATTTTATTTTTAACACGCTTCAATTACTATCTTTTCAATTATTAGTAGAGACTGGTACTAAATTAAAATTTATGAAATGATCGTCGGTGGCTCAGGGGTTAAGCACTTGGCATATAATGCAGATCCTGGGTGCGAATCCCGTCCATGTATCAATGTGTTCTTCGATTTACATATGAACGTTTATCCGAGCTTTTTAAGGTGAAGGAACACGTGATGCATCCTGCACATATCTGCGAAGAAATTCAAACATATGTTAGACTTGAACCAACCCGCTCTGGGTCAGTATGGTTGACTATGGCCTAATCATCACTGACTTCGGTTAGGCTCCGAGCCCCTCAGTGTGGACGTATAGTAAGCTGATGATGATGAACCATCAAATTAATAGACACATGAGTTAAATAAGACTATAATTAAAGGATTTTTGTATTCATATGTGTGTCAAATTTCACTTTCATTCGATCGCGGAATTTTAAAAGTTCGCAATTTCACAAACTTGTGTAACTACAAAATTGTCGCTACACTTATTATAAGAATGATTTTCCAATATAACATGTGAACCTAATAAACAAACATAAATTATATTTAAGAGTTTATGTCACCCTCATCTACTATACGTCCTCACTGAGGGGCTCCGAACCTAATAGGATTGACTAGGCCATAGTCAACCACGCTAGCCCACAGCGGGTTGACTTCACACATATCTTTGAATTACTTCTTATTGCGGGATGCATCACAATGTTTTTGTTCACCGTAAGAACGTCGGATAAATACATATATGTTAATCGAAAAACACATCAGTACTTCTCATGCAAACTTTAATTATAATTTCTGATATAAAACATATTTAAATGTAAATAAAATGTTATAATTTACATAAGTATATTGCTTGCATGGTAAAAAAAACCACGTACATTGTTATTCCAATTGTAAGACAGTATTTAATTCTTAAGGTAGACATCAAAGTACTCACACGTTACGTGACCTTAATATGAGAAAATAAGGTCTCAACAAGATATAAGAATTATTTGTAAAATAAATCTTATATTAAATAAAAATCGTAAAAAATCGTATTTAATAGGAACTTGAATTATTTCTAATAGTTTTTGAATTAAGTAAAATTAAATGATTGATTTAATAAAAATATAGATTAAAAAACAAATAATGGAACTTAATAAACCTTTGCACAATGCAAATGGAGAAGAAAGAAAATGGTTACCATCGAAATTATTCTGGAAACAGGTAAGTTGGAAAAAATTCAGGCTCAAAAAAAGTTCAAAATTTTATAAAATCTACTCCACATCTTTTGCGTTCAATCTAATTTAATATTAAATGCGACTTAGAAGGTTTATAAATAGGTGGGTAGACGTTTGTTAGAAGGTATCGCCAGAAGAGCTAAAGGGATGTCGCTGTAATTTGGCAGAGAATTTTTTTATTTATTCCGCAGGGACGTAGTCGCGGATTACAGCTAGTGTAGATATAAGTAAGGAGTGAGTACTGAGGCCTTTCCGCAGGAAAAAGGAAGATGATGATGATCTTTTCTGTTAAGTATTTTTTATTTGTATGTAGTTGTTCATCTGCGTTGGTGTATGGAACATGTTGTTCATGGCGGGAATGTGTATGGGAACACCGACTGTACTCATCCCACAGCTGCGGAGAGAGGCCAACTCAACTGATGCTGTTGACGGCGAAACAGCATCTTGGTTATGTAAGTATTTATATAAAACTAGCTATCGCTTGCGACTTTGCGCAGAATTTAAACTAACTACTGAGTAACTAAAAACTATGTTCTATATTTATGGCAAATTTCATCAAGATCCATGCAACCGTTTTGGAGATACCTTCTAACAAACATCCATCCATTCATCTAAATTGAATTGCGAAATGCAAAGTACGGTAGATAAGTCAGGGTTCGTTGCAAGTTTGAATACAGATAACAGTGAAGAACAAATTTATACTATATAGCATTGTTGATACATTCTTATAAAATTATCCATCAGATTATTAACATTTTAAATAATACTAAGGAAGAGTTAAAGTAGAAGCTAGCTTAACAGTAGTAGAGCCCGCTTTAACATCTCACGAATTGGCCCGGCTCGCCTGGTGAAATACCACGACCACACAGAAGACAGGCGTGAAGTGGAAGCTATTCCGCGTTTCGTCTGATGAGTGTGCGTCCCGGAGGCCTTATTTAGTCCTCTTTCCCTACCAACCCTTTTTCTTATAAGGAAAGAATGGGAAGTGGAAGTCGACTTCCCGGATGGTCGATTTAAAGTAGACAACGCATATTCAATTGCGTTTGTCTATGGGCAACAGTCACTTCGCTATTTCAGCGATTTAAGGTGACCGCTTGTTCGTTTGCCACTTTATGATATATGTTATAGTAGAAGTAACTAGATATATTTTTATTGTTTACAGATTCTGTCTTCGGTACATGCACTCTACCTTGGGTGGTCATAACACTTTTTTTCACGCAGTACTTCGGACGCAGATGGCCTGTCATTATCAGTGTCTCCACTATATTCTTAGTCTTTCTATTCATGTCACTGAGTACGAACGCCAAACAGATACTTGTAGCAGAAATAATGGAAGGCTGTTTTTTCTCTTGTTGCTTAACAGTCTGTGTTATTATCTTATCGGAGTATACAATACCAAAGTATCGGGGAATCTTTTTATGTTTTAAATCAAGTAGCTTCTTCTGGGGCCTTTGGATTGCAAACATCATCGGGACATTCTTCCATTGGAAAAATATTCCAATATTTGGAATGATTGTCTGCTTATACTCATTTACTGCGTTCTTCTGGCCAGAATCACCACACTGGTTGGCTAGTAGGGGACGTTTTGAAGAGTGCAAAACATCTTACCGTTGGCTTCACGGCTGTGATGAAGAATCTGAACGTGACTTAGCAACTTTAATAAAAAGACAAACAGATTATTTGAATGTTCGCGCTCAGAAAAGAAAATCTTTTTATTTTTCGCAATATACCTCAAAAGAGTTTTATAAACCTCTTTTCTTAATAGTACTGGCTGTAACTCAATATCATTTCTCTGGGAAATTAGTTTGTAGTATCTACGTGTTGGAAATTACGAAAAAAATAACAAATAGCGAAGACACTGCGTACCTTATAATGTTAATTTTGGATGGTGTAACAATTCTTGGCATTTTTATCGGCTGTTTACTTTCAAGAATACTGAACAGACGTACAATGTATATTAGCTTTTCAGCGATAGGTGTAGTTTTCCTATTTCTAATTTCGCTTTATTTATATCTAGTAAAATTGTTGATTGTAGTTGAGAATAATATATTCTCTATAATTTTACTAACTTGTTTTTCGATTGCAATCAGTTGCGGTCCCATGATCATGACAACATCTGTATATGGAGAGGTTATACCTTTAAAACATAAGACTTCTATGTTTCTTATAGCGATATTATTATTCGAAACTTATAATGCTGTATTATTAAAGAATGCACCTAAACTCTTCAAAAATTTAGGATTTCACGGTACATTTTTAATGTACGGAATCGTTACTGGCATCTGTACTTATCTTTTGTATTTATATTTGCCAGAAACTAAGGATAAAACGCTGCAGCAAATTGAACAGCAATTTGAAGACGAATTGAGAGCAACGCCATCTATTGATGAAACAGAGCGTTTTATTGCAAAACAACATAAATAAATTTATGAAAATTATAATTAAATGTTAACTTACTACTAAAAAATGTTATTAATTTGATATGTTAAATACAATCAAATCAAAGATTCTCAAGAAATGTTTAATTTCATGTATTCGGTAAGCTTTTTTACTTTGTAATAAATATAATAAGCTAGCTATGCCCACAACTTCGTCCGCGATACTGTCTTTGAGCTGCGCAGTACTGGACTGTCTTGGACATTGCAACATAACTTTATTTTTCTAAAATAAACGTAGCCCTAGTTACTCATTACATCATCTACTTGCCAATAAAAGTCCCGTCAAAATCGGTTCATCCATTTCAGAGATTATCCGAAATAGGGAGACAGACAAAAATTAAAAAAAAAATTTTTTGGTGTATGTACTAAAATTTAATAAAATAGCTTATCATCATAATAATATTATAAATACGAATGTTTAGATGGATCGATGTTTGTTTGTAGGTATCTTACCGAACGTACCGATGTAGAACATAGTCTGGAAAAACACATAGGCTACTTATTAAGTTTTTTTTTTAATCCGCGCGGACAGTTTCACGGGAGACAGCTAGATAAAAATGTAATTTTACTCAAAGGCTTGCTTTAAGTAACTCAAACATACCACGAACAGATGTTGTAATATTCAAGCAATACTGGGAGGATCTGGCATCTGTCATCCGTTTGTAACCTCACATTATGGCGGAATTACGCGCACTTTGTTACAATAATGGCGCGGTCTACTTTTAAAGGATGTATTTTGAGGTTACAAAACTGTCATTCGAATGATCGGAAAAATATACGTTGATAAGATTTAATTAATTATTTATAAATTCACAGATTAAAAAAATACTTGATAAATATAAACAAAGAAAATCATCCGTAAATTATATGTTTGTCTGCAAGTAACAAAAAGTTTGTTTAATATAATCTTACTAATATAAATGCGAATGTTTAGATGTTTGGACGGCTGCCTAGATCACACTTATGCTTACGTGTGGAACATAGCCTGTAAGAACACATACGCTACTAACTAATTGTTTTTAATTTCGTGGTGGTGTTTTCGTCTCGGAGTCGTTGGCGATAGCTAGTGAAAAAGTTCTTTTTGTTTAGTCTTTTATTACGTTTTTAAACGATAAATAATCAAATACTGTGAGTATATTTCGGCAATGGAATTATACAATAATATTTATTCTCTTTTAAATAAAAGAGAGATGGTTTATGACAACGTAGGGTAGATAAAATTGTCGCCTATGGTCCAGTGGTTATAAAGCACATAATGACGTGTCGGTTCCGCTTCGGTGACATGTTTTAGTTCAATTTGGGTCGTAATTACTATGGGACTATACGATACAGTACCAGAGTTTTTTAGTAGTAATATTGATTAGAAATACTTCAACTGAATAACTATACCTTTAGGTAACAACTACTCAGAAATAAAAAAAGCACTTTTCTATTTAAATATTATTGAACTAGCTATAGCCCGTGATTTCATCCGCGCGGAGTTAAAAAAAAAATTAATTAGTAACCTATGTGTTCCAGGTTATGATCTACATCTGAGTCAAATTTCATCAAGATCCGTTAACCTGTTCTGGAGAAACATTTAAACAAAGAGCCATCCATCCATCTAAACAGTAGCCTTTATAATATTAGTAATAATGGGTCAATTTCTTATTCACAACCTTTATTGGAAAAGGTTTAGAAATCGATTTATAGTAGCCAAATATTTTGCACTGCAATTATTGCGTCATTTTATTACCACAAATTCACGAGTATATTGAAACAAAAGCTACGCATAACGCGTGTAACCTTCAAAAGCAACCATAGGGCCTCGTCCCAGCCAGACGGACGGACAAACAAAAAAAGCAACAACTTTTGTAATTATTATAAACCATGCGAGTGAATCGAGATCGACCAGTTGACCGAATGCCTCCATGCAGTGTACATTGCCATCAAATTAAAAAAAAAAGTTTCATTCCATTTTTAAATTTAGAATAGCGTATGTGAATTAAATGTACTGGGATATGTGAGAATATTTTTTTTATTTCTATTTTAAACTAGTTTAACGGCCAGTGCTATTGACTACGGAGAATGAACTTTGCGGGTCGTTAATCTGGACGCATCGAAGATGGAACAAATAATTATTTTGGTAAGAGATTTATAAATATTAAAAGGATAATATTATAATAAATAGTAAAAGTTATTCTTTGACTAAAAATACTACCAGATTAAAAAAATATTTAAAAAAAAACTTGCTGAGCGTTATAATAATTCAATTTTTTCGTAATTTTATGTTCAGATTATTGACTTATTGAAGTTCAAAAAAAATACTGGTTAACAGGTATCTTTTTTGGTATAGAATAGTTTTTTTTTAATTAAAATAGCAATTGTTTGCTAAAGAAGTTTTGCTATGAGAATCTTAAAACAAAAGAAAAATATTATAATATATATCCTGATAAATTCGAATAATAAAATTGTGATGACATTTTTATACGTAAAACTTTACTATTAGAGGACTAACCACGTTACCAATTAATACTTTTAAAAATCTGAAACTTTTACGTAAAGTTAAAGTACATTTGGGTCATTAAATATGTATAATTTATGAATAATAGTTATATCTCGTACAGCACAAAAGGTTATGGGACAGTTGCGTAAGACCCAAGGTTGTAATCCGTGTAGTCAAATATTATTTTTAATTGTATCGCTCTTTTGTTACAATTTGAATACAATTCGTTTCACAATAACGAAAAAAAATTACGTACGTATTCTGAATTTATTTTAATTTAATAAATGTTTAATTCTTTATAAAATAATATTACGTTGGCTCTTAGACTATGATAAATATATTGGTAATCGATGAAAAAAATTTAGAATTGTAACAGCTCGCAAGTTCCAAATTTAAATTGTCGCTTCAGTGTGCTGAATTGCGCCCACGTAAAAAAGACAAAACAAAAATTTCCTCATTCTAATTTCAAACAAAATAATAAAAAGTGACATTGAAACCAAGTTCATATATAAAACGAGTGCATTTATTATTATCTAATTACAGTACATACAACGTCCGCCGAAAACAATAGAATGATGTCACCTGACTAAAACAAAGTAGGCCGAAATCGGGAGCCGGACCTTGTTATAATTGTTCTCGCTTAACTGACTCTGAATGGATAAAAAACCAGATAAGGAAAAGTTCAACCAGAAATTGTATGGACCAACTATAATTCTACTATTAGGTTATTTTGGATTATGATAGACAAAAAAAGTAAAATGGGTTACCTCAAATCTTGCAGGACTGGGCTAAGACAGCGTAAGATATAGCCCACTTTGTGTCGATGCCTCATTGAACTTAATTATTTCAAATATATCTTACTAATATTATAAATGGGAATGTTTGGATAAATGAATGGATGGATGTTTGTTTGAAGGTATCTCCAGAACGGCTGGACAGAACCCGCTGAAATTTGACATAGATATAATACGTAGTTTGGAAGAACACTTAGGTTACTTATTGAGTTATTTTTAGTTCCGCGCCGACGAAATCGCGGGCGTTAGCTAGTTGTATATAAATTTTCTGTTATGAAGTAAATAAGCTTCAGTACAACATAAAACCCGGAACATATTATAATAACGATTCAGACAAAAAACGTGCAGGAAGCAACTCCGAGAGTCATATTATAATTATGCAACAAAAACTACAAGTGCTATTGACTGATCTTCATACAGCGATAACGGCATAATTGTTAAGCGTTTCAACGATAATTGTAAATGACTTACAACGTCAATTTGCATTTTTATATCATCATCATCATCAGCTCACTATAGATCCCCACCGAGGGGCTCGGAGTCTACCCTATGTTAAGGGTGATTAGGCCATAGTCAACCACGCTGGCCAAGTGCGGGTTGGTTGACTTCACACATATCTTTGATTACATTGTTATATACTATTATATATAAAATCAACATACACCAGAAGTAATCTTGCAATCTAATTGATTTTTTTAATCTTAATTATTTGGATTACTAAATTGACATAGAAGATAGATGTGAAGTGGAACCAATTCCGCGTTTCGTCTGATGAGTGTACGTCCTGGAAGCCTAATATAGTTGTCTTTCCTTTCCCACCTTTTTCTTATAAGGAAAGGATGGGAAGTGGAAGTGGACTTTCCGGATGAGAGGATGCATGGGAAGGGAAAATGTTTTCTTTCTGTGCATCCTCTCCTCCATCGATTAAAGGTAGGCAACGCATATGCAATTGCGTACACGCATTTGCATATGCGTTGCGGGCAACGGTCCCTTTGCTGTTTCAGCAATTTCAGGTGGCCGCTCGCTCGTTTGCCGCGTAATGATATAAAAAAATTATCAGTTACTTTATCAATTTCACAGATACTTTCAACTGTTCTGTTGATCTCAACAAAGTTTCAAACAACAATAGCAGATGGCAGCATCTTATCTGCAATCTTAACTCCGACTGAAAGCGCAACATTGCAGCGTCAAGAGAGAAGTTATTACGAAAGATACGGAGCGAGACGGCCCTTGTACGACAGACTGGACTACGACAGCCGATGCGGTAGATGTGATGACCGCTATGATGATAGAAATGATGACAGAGATGATTATGATAGGGGTAGAGATAGATATGATGATGATAGAAGATCAAACCGACCGACATCTGGCAGCCGACATGATAAAAAAGATTATGACGACGACGACAGGAACTACAATAACGATAGAAAGAACGGGCAAAAGAATGGCACCGAAGATGACAATGATACTGACAAGAAAAGACCATACGATGACAAAGATAGACCCAGTAGCGGCAGGAAAGGTAACAGAGATAGACATAGACACGATGACAGAGATAGATATAGACCTGATTATTACGACAGATTTTTAAGAGACCCGTACAGACATGAGAGACCGTATTACGATGATCCGTATAGAGAACGAAGACCATATGACAGGTATAACCCTTATTCCGATCGATTTGATGATGGATACGGAGGTAGATAT